TATGGAAAGCAGTCCAAACTCTTTTCGATGTTATAATTACAAAGTGACAGAATAAGAGGTTTTATCCTGGTCTTTCTCACATAGCTGTAACCTATTCTAGTGCGCCAGGATCACAGATTCTATCTGAATTTACAGGCTGAATTCTCTATGCATCCTTCTGCAGTGTAAAACCAAAACATGCTGGATAAAGGACGAGAAGACTTGAATCAGCCTAGACACCGTCTGGCAGCAAACTATACTTAACTATTAACAATATCCTCTGTGCTAATTACAGCTTGTCTTGGCTCGAGTGAGAGCTGCAATTCCTTCGCCTTTGGCGTGATGGGAGGAAGATCAACTGTACAAAAATCAGCACTGACTTAGAAGTGATTCAGCACTGGATGCTTTTTATTTAATTACTGATTACCAGCTGAGACTTGAGAACTGACTAGACACCCATGGATTTTCCTCAATTGCAAGGCATTGTTTGAGCTCCCATCAATCCACACAAGATCTACATGAGGAAACCTCACACCAGGCTCTCTTCTTTAGGTTTATAGATTATGGAGAGACTTGTAATTCAAAGGTCTGTTGACATAATGAGATTAATGTACATGTTCTTGCCCATACACAAGTGAGAAAGTCTTTTCTTCCAGACAGTTTACAGTCTCTTCACTCCTGGATTTTGTACTTTTGTCAGGGCAGCTTAACTGGCCTTTAAATGAAAATAATTTATCTGTCTGAGAATTAATATAATCAGGAAGGTTAGCTCTGACATAACCAGATCCTGCCATTTATTTGTGACTAAAATGAAAACAAGCTCCATGAACACCTTTACGTTCAGGATGGACACAGAGCCACATCCTCACAGGGAGACTTCAAACCTTTGGCCTGACCAAGGTTTGTTTATGTAAAGTGTAAACACCAACTAACACTGGTGCAGTTTGCTGTGCTACATCTGTGGGTCCCCAGGGTCCCCGAATCACAGAATGGCTGGGGTTGGAAGGGGGATCCTTCTCTGGAGATCACTCAGTCCATGCCCAAGCTCCATGTCCGAGGGCTCGGAGCCTTCAGGGCAGCCTGGCCCGGGGCTGTGAGGGGTGCAGGGATGGCAGCTCCTTAGGGATGGGCAGGAGTGGAGCTTGGAGGCTCCTGAGGGCTGTGGAAGGGTTAGGGTGAGGATTAGAGTCAGTGTCAAGGTCAGGGTTAGGCTTAGCTCCTCAGGGTTGTGCAGGAGCAGTTCAGCATGGAGGATCCTGGGGGCTGTGGAAGGGTTGGGATCAGGGTTAGGGTCAGGGTTGGCTCCTCACGGCTGTGCAGGAGCAGAGCGCGACACGGAGGCTCCTGAGGGTTGTGGGAGAGTTAGGTCAGGGTTAGGCTTAGGCTTAGTTCCTCAGGGCTGTGCAGAAGCAGGAGTTCAGCATGGAGGGTCCTGGGGAGTGTGGGAGGGTGAGGGTTGATTCCTCAGGGCTGGGCAGGAGCGGGAGTTCGGCATGGAGGTTCCTGAGGGCTGTGGAAAGGTGAGGGTCACAGTTAGGGTCAGGGTTGGCTCCTCAGGGCTGTGCAAGAGCAGAGCTCGACATGGACGCTCCTGAGAGCTGTGGAAGGGTTAGGGTTGATTCCTCAGGGCTTTGAAGGAGCAGCAGTTCGGCATGGAGGCTCCTGAGGGTCGCAGGAGGATGGGCGGTGCGGGATGGCGGCTCCGCGGAGCGGGAGGTGCCTGAGGAGGCAGCGGGAGCCCAGCCGCGCTCCAGCCCCGTGCGCTCCAGCCCCGGGGCTGCGGGACAACGGCGGCGAGGCACAGCCCGCACGTGCTGCGGGGACAGGAGAGGACAGGAGGGGACAGGAGCAGAAAACCCCGCAGCGCTCCCGCAGCGCCGCCTCCATCTTGCGCCGCGGCTGCAGGTGCGCGGCCCCGCCCGTGCGCGGCCCCGCGGAGGCGGCGCAGGCGCGGCCCCGCCCCGGTGCCCGGCAGGTGCCGGAGCCGCGCGGCCCCGCCCCGGCCCGGGCGCGCTGAGGGCGGAGGCGGCGGAGCGGCCGCGGGTACCGGGGGCTCTCGGCTGGGCCGCGCTGCTGCCCGTCCCGCAGCGCTCCGGCGGACACAGCAGAGAGAACAGCGGACGCAGCTCGGCATGAACCGGGCTCAGCGCGGGGCCGCGGGCAGCCGCGGCCTGGGCACCATGGAGGTGAAGAGCAAGGTGGGAGCCGCCGCCGCCGCCGCCTGAGGGCCGCGGGCGCTGGGGGGGAAGGACCGGGCCGGCCCTGCGGGGCCGTCTGGCCGTGGTGTCGCTGCGGGGACAGGACGGGGACAGGGACAGGGACAGGGACTGCTGCTGACTCACCTGCCCGAGGGGCCCCCGGGCACGGCCCCGCCGGGGCCTGAGCGCTCCGCAGGCCCCCGGGCTCGGGCGGGCCCCGCACCTGTGCCCGCCCCACGGGCTGGGGTCTTGCTGGCTGCGGGGAGGAAATATAAATGCTTTTGAAGTGGTTTAAAAAAAAAAAACAAAACCCAAAAAACCAGGTAAGTGGAGCTGGCCCCTAAGTTTCTGGACCGACTAAAAGACGTGCAGATAAATTTGTGTTGGGGAAAGTGTGGGATTGCTGGGCCAAAAGAGGTGTTTAAAGACATGCTTCGGGAGTGGGCTACATGATCTCCAGAGGTCCCTTCCAACCCTGACAATTCTGTGATAATTCACAAGCATCAAAACGCGCTCTTTGTCCGAATTGCAATGAGTGTGTTCGTTAGTGACTGTTTCTGTAGTTACCTTTTTTCCCTTAATGATTGTCTTTCTGTAGCTTTTTGTGGGACAAGGCGTAGGCTTACAGTAGAGGTGAGCCCTGGCTGGCTTACCCGAAAGTGGAGTTTGCCTTCTCTTAGAGCCCCGAGAGACTTTTACCCTGGCAGTTTCAGGAGTGTGTACCTGCATATTCCTGCAGAGATCACCGGTGTCAGGTGCTCACAGCTTTGCCCAGCTCTTAAATTCTCCCATGTGTGCATCCACACCTCTTCTATTTTTAAGTTTTATTTGCTGGTTAGGCAGAGTTTTTCTGACAAAGCTTTGGTATTCTGAGGTAAATTAATTTGGGGGTTTTTTTCTGCTTTATATTTGCATTAGTTTCCAGTTGTAAAACTGCTGGATGTACAGTATGAGGTGGAGTATCACTATTAGTTAAATAAATGTTGAGTTAAAACCCCTTTTCTAGGCAGATTGTAAGTGCGTCCACATGGGAATGTGTTTTCCATTGGTGGACACGTGGATCTCTTGGGTTGTTTTTTGGAGTGGGGAGCAGCCTGTACTCTGTGCCCTCCTTTGCTGCTGGTGAAGTGTTAGAGCAGCAGTCAGGACCTGAGCTCTGTGGATCTTTAAGGATAACACATCATAGTGCTGGAACTTCTGGGGAGTGTGTGGTTGATCCCTACAGCTTAATTGAGGATGATTTCTTTAAAGTGTTCGCTTTTTATGTGACCTAAACCAGCAAGCACGGGAATATCTGGTAGCTGTTATTTCAAATACCAGTTGAGTTAGTACTGTGATGGTGAAGTCTTTTATTTATGCTCCTGTAAGGTTGAAAATAATCAGTGCGATGTGCTTACAAACCCAAATCACTTGTTTCCTCAGCCCAAAACTCTAGGTTCGCTGTTTCCCTGCTGTGTGTTTTCCTTGATTTAAAATATTCTAGGGAATCAGCCGTGTGATGTGTTCCTGGTGTTTGTACAGAGAAATGTAGCCCTAATGAATAGGGATGATCCCTCAAGTGCATATTACAGAGCAGGATTCAAGGCATTCTTAGAACCACTTGTTGCTAATGCATTATTTACTAGCACCTCAATTTAATATCGCAGAGGAGTCATCTTCCTTCTATGAAAATGAGCAATTCTGAAGAGAAGGAAGAAAGGACTGTGTGGAACGTGGAGGGAGCCATTCTTGTGGAGTGGCCTGGGCTTTGAAGGCTGCTCAGTGATGTACAGCTCTTTATTTAGATATTCCAGATCAATAATTGTGCCTCAGCTGACAAGGCTGGGCCAGCACAGCCCAACTGTGGTTGCAGTTATATGAGCACAGTCCTTTTGTTGGTTTAGTTTATTCAGTTTGGGTAACTGCTCTGAGCTTGCCCTGGCCATTCCCCATAGTACTTGAATTCCAGTCAGCCCATTTTCTTGTCATGGAAAATAAAACTTTATACTCCAGGCTAGAGTTCCTAGTGATGGTGTGGAAACCCCAAAATAAGCCTCTACTTCTCTGTATATTAGAATGCAAGTTTTCCCCCTTTCTCATGACTTGGAATACTATTTTTTTTCTGAGTAAAATCTTAATAACTGGTAAGCCAGGGAAGGTCACTGCAGCTCACGTTCTTTCAGTGATGGAGACTTGCTTAGAGCAGCTCTGTGTTTCAGAGGACTTAAAAACGTGACCCATAAATGATTAAGTGAGCATTCCCTGTGACTTCCTGGTGTGCTGCCATGGTTCCCCTGCCTCTCCCAGGGGACCAGCAGGGGCTTGGAAAGAGCTCAGGTGGCAAGGAGCCTTCTCTGCTTAAGTTACTCCTCCAGAGTCTCATCTCCTCTAGAACATCAAGTGCAGGCCTGCTTCATGGAATGGAGGGCAGCATGTGATGGAAAATGCAGACATTTTAGCGATTCAAATAATGGAATTGCACAGTTGGACTTGTCTTTTACCTGCTTTCTAATAGTCTTGAGCAAACTGTGTTAGGAAGTACGAGAGGGTTATTTGAGTCTTTTGGTACTTGCACCAAATAGCTATAAAATAACATGGAGGAAAAAAATCACACGTTTGAAAATCTGACCCTTTGCTTACTGTGTTAAGATTCAACATTTATTCCAACCTGAGGGTGAGGTTGTTGGCTTTTTAGACTTTTATTACTGAATTATGTTTGAACTATGTAATCCTTGAAAGCCAAACAATTTGGATTGCTGCCATGCATGGTGGAGAAGGATCTGAGACAGGATGAAGTCCTTCTCTGATGTCATGATTGAGCTGTGCTGCCTCTGACGTGATGGGAGTTCCTGCTGTGGGCTGGGCTTTTGTTTGTAAGCAGGTATGAATCATCCCTTCTATCTTATTAGTTAATGTCAGGGTAATTGCAGGTTTTTTAGAGCAGGAATGTTCCCAGATAATTCCTTTATTTGGAGCCTTTGGAGGAAGGTGGGGTGGTGAAGGTGTAGCTACTTTTGAGTTGGTGTTAACGTGCTAACAACGGGGTCCTTGTCTCCTGATTTTCAGTCCTTTGTTTGTGTGTGAGAGCTCCAAGGCTTTTATTCTGCAGAAGATTGCAATCAGATGTGAGGTAAAGTGCACCTCCACACCTCCTGTGTGGAACACTCACCTAAGTATGTGATACTGAGGCTCCAGCGTGCACTCAAGAGTATTTTGTTCCACGTGTCCTTCTGCTCTGCTTAAAACTAAACTTGCTAAAGAAATTATTTAAAGTCTTTATTTTCAGGTCAGCAATAGAATTCACACACAAAAAAAAACCAGCCAACTGAGTTTTTTTAGAATTATTTGCTTATTATCCTTTTGACTCATATGCAATCTGTTCTGGTTTTTGTAACCTGGCTGCTGCTATCTCTGAATTCCTTTTGACATCTCTGGTATGTTGTATATGTGCCTGATATGGAGGATTTGGAGTAATTTTTATCCAATATTCTGTTTGCTTTGAGTCATGCCCTTTTTAGGGCAGAACACCAACGTTTTACTAGCTACGTGTGGTAAAAATCACAATTTGTCTAGTCTACATCAAATGCTCATCCTTTTCTTGGCACTCAGTTGAGTCTCCTGCCTGCCCCCACTGTATCATTGCCTTAATAAGCAACATGTTTTAATAAGTCTTTGCTTTAGAGATGATTTAGGAGACTGAGCTTGAGTGGATTTGTGAGCTGGGTATTTTGTTGAATGATTATGTTGACTACAAGCAAATCCTATCCCTGGAAGAAGTGTCAGTGACTAATTTTTTTTCCATATTTTCTGAACCTTGCCAAATTCAGAAAATCCAGGTTCTATACCCTGGATAGAGCCCTGATTTAAAAGACTGTTGCAATCAAGATTTGAGCCTTGCTCATGCAGGTGAATGCTCTGGAGGTGGTGGCTGGTTGTCTGTGTTACCTCTCCTTAGGTAGGAGCAGAGTGGACTGAGATCAGCTCCCCAGAGCTGGGCTTGCACGTGGGCTGTGCTGAAAAGCAGCAGCAATTCTTTGTGATGTTCACATCCCAGTGGCATTTTCACTTCCTGCCCAAACAACTGGGGGTGTGAAGGCTGCTGAGCCCTGCGTGGGTGAGCCACAGTTGTGTAACCATCTCTACACTCTGTTCTCAAGGGCACTGCTAGTTCTTGGAACCAAATTCCAGGTAGTCACATACCACAGGGTGTCACATACCACAAGATGTTAATCACAGTGCTGGTTTGAGCCACCACAGCAATGCTACCTCTCAATTCTGTCCCTTGCCCACTGTGGTGGCTTCATGAGCCTGTGAGAATCTGCAGGAATCCCTGCACGGTTTGGGTTTGTCACCTTAGCGCTGATGAGCTCCCGTTAAATGGAGCAGTGAAACAGCCTTGGCATGCTCCAGGGTACAGCTTCTACCAGGTACAAAACTAGTTTGAGCTTTGGGGGAAAAAAAACAATTATTTTAACTGACTGTTTGATACCACATCCAAATTGTTTGTTGTAGTTTTTAGCGTATTTTAATTCCATGATTTTTCTGGTTGAACGTAAAATAATTCTGTTGCTTCCATATTCATAATGTAAGATATATTTTGTTGTAGTTTGGGGCAGAATTTCGACGATTTTCTCTGGAGAGATCCAAACCTGGCAAGTTTGAGGAGTTCTATGGATTATTGCAGCACGTGCACAAGATCCCCAACGTTGATGTTCTCGTGGGGTACACGGACATTCACGGAGACCTGCTGCCTATCAATAATGATGACAATTATCACAAAGCAGTTTCTACAGCCAATCCTCTGCTCAGGATTTTCATTCAGAGAAAAGGTAAGAGCACCTGAAGAATGTGAACCATCTGTTTGTCCAGCTACAGTGTGATGTATGGAGGAAAAAACCCTTCAGTCCTATTTCATCATGTCAAATTCCATATGTGAATACCTCTCATGTATTCACAACTTGTCTCTCTTGCAAAGGGTTTCCTCAGGCAACCTATTTATACTTTATGATTTTTTGCTTATATTTAGTTGAGTTAGTCAAGTTAAATCTCTAGAAAATGTTTCTTCCTGGTTTTATGTAAGAAAATGAAAATAAACTTTTAACTTCTAAGGTTTTCTGCTCTGTGTGATGGATACTTTTCACTTAAAATTCCTATCTTGATCAGACAAGAAGAGAAACCGTTACAGGATGGAAAATAATATTTAAAATGTTATCACATGAAGTATTAAATGCAATATTAAAGTCTAAATTTAATACTAACTTTATAATATGCTACTCCTATCACACTTTCCTAATAAAACATTCTGAAGTTTCAATTGACAAGCTCCTTTCAGTTAGCAAACCTCAGGAATGAGGGCTGCTTGCTTTGTTGGTTTGCCTTTATAAGTAGTGTGTCTGCTCTGGTTGTGTGTTCCTACTGTCTCCTTTGTTCATGAAGGGGAAAAATCTAATTATAAGTTTGTATTTGTTCTTGTGATGGTGTTGCTGGTTGTTGCTAAGACAGGCATCTTTTCCTCAGAAAATGCTTGGGCAGCATCAACTCCTGCTCCAAAAAGTGAACAGCTCCACAAGAGCCTGACACAGACCCAGTATTCATAACCAGTGTGGCAGCTGGGCAGGGGCTGAGTGCTGGCAAGTGTTTGTTTTGTTTGTGTTGATGGTGTAGATGGTAAGGCCTGTGCTCTCGGTGCTGGAGTGCCAAAGGCATGCACCATTTGCTTTAGCAGAACCTGGAGGGACACAAGGCCTGGGATTCCATCTAATCCCCTACAGTAACCATATGACAGGCAGGGATAAGCCACTTTGTCAGACTGGGATTATACAGTTTATATTTTAACACCATATGTTTGTAGATTGTTCCTGGTGTGACAGGTCTGATGTTGCCTGTTCTAGTGATGCATTTGTAATGCTTTTTTAGTTCTCTACCTTCATTTCTCTTGATTTCATCCAGGTGCATTATTTGTTTCTACCCTGGTGCCAGGAGTTGATGTAATGCACAGAAGTAGAAGATTAATCCATTTTAGTTATCAGAAAAAGAATGGATGAGCAGGAAAAGCTGTGTAGAAAGTACCAGGTGTCAGTGCCTTCCCTTGGACACACGAGCCTCCTGCCTGTGGAGTTGGAGGAAATTAAGGACCAGGCTTGGCACCACAGTCCCACTGCACTTTGTTAGGAATTACAAATTATTTGTTAGGAATTTGTTATGATCACACTGATCACATATGGTGATGAAATTGAGGCTTTGCCTTCACTGGCATCTTTGCCATATGGAGTAGATATACAGAAAACAGAGAAATAATTGTATTCCCTATTTTATTTGTGATTATTTGCCTGTAACCAAGGCTGGATTAGGGATGGTTCACCTTTTGTGCAGCATTATTTGTTTAAGTGTGCTTAATTCATAGCTTGCAGCAACTTTACTGGCTCTAGAATGGAAAAGAAATGTCTGAGCAGATACCTGCTATCGATGGAGCTGCTTTCATCTGGGCTGGTTTGGAACTATAATAAATGACACAAGTTACTTTTCCACCTGCAAGGCTACTCGTGGTTTTCATGCATTCTCTTAAATCAGCTGAAAAGTTTTTGTGGGTTTTGTAATGGAACTTTGATTTCTTTTATGTTTCCAGCAGCAGTAGTTGGGAATTTAAGATCTTTGACAAAAAGCCACTGTGGGGAGGAGAGAAAATGTTTTGATGCCTTATAATAGATGAAATTTTTATCATTCTCTCTTAACTATTTAGAAAGTACATGTAATTTCTGCAAAGCTAACTTGAGGTACAAGCAGGCTGCAGTGAAATCTAATGTAAACAATGTTAACTTCTGAGTGTACTGCATCCAAGAAACACCTTGAGAGGTTGAAATGGGAGCTGCAAAGTGGTTTTGCTTTTATTAATAAGTGGTGGTTGTGATAATGGGACTCCAGAATTTGGGATATGTTATGTCAGAGTAAGAACTCTTTCCTCTCCTGTTTGATTTTTTGACTCCTCATTCCTGAAAGCTCTGTTTGCCCTGAACATTTATGTGTCTTGGTTGATTTGATAAAAAACCTAGAGGTCCTGTAATGAAATCACATTATTTGCCTTTGACTCCTCTAATTGCATTTCACCAAATTCCTTTAAAATACTTTATAAACTGCTCCAGTGCTAAATCTAAACTGGGCCTTGATGTTGCCCAAGTCAGGATTGGCTATCAGCTTGCAGAAAACATTCCTCGCTGGAATTTCATTCTGCAGTTTAACAGATTAACAGGTACTGTTGACATCTGGTATTTAAAGGTTAAACTGATGTATTGTGATTAAATCCAGATGTATGGGAGTCACTCTGTCTGTGAGAAAAACCTTCCTGAAGAGAAAATGGAGGGAGCAGCCTGCACAGGCTGCAGGGCAGCTTGATGTGGGGGACTTTGCATTGTAAATATGAGAACAGTAGAGATAACAGAAGATACATTTCATTGTAATATCCCTAACAGTCCCTTGCAGCATTCTAAATTACAATATCCAACTCCTGCAAGTTCTGCATGGATGTGGCTGGATTTAGTGAGAAGTGGATTCTATGATTAATCCACTTGTGCCTCTTGAGAGAGACTTTGTCACTGAGAAGCTTTACTTTGGTGAGAAGTAAGAGAAGTTGGCTTGTAAAACAGCTCTTTGTGGACTAACCTAGCTATTCTGAGGCCTCTTCCTAAAAACACAGGTTGTTTTTTTGTTGTTGTTGTATTTTGTGACTAAATAAGAGGAGATTTTTTGGGTCGTATTTAAAATTGCTAAATTGCATCTCCTCAAATACACTAACTGCTTGGGGGCTATGAAAATTTAATTCTCAAGGGGTAACTCTACATTGATTTGCAAATGGGTCAGGAAAATATTTTAAAAATCTGTCTTCAATAACATTAAATTGCAACCAGATTTGGCATTCACAGGCTTTTGTTTTCAATTTCATGTAATAAGTCTGTACAGTTTGGTGCCACCTTGAGCTTGAAGCTCCTGGGGGGAGAAATCCTTCCTTCACCGTGTGGCCATTCTCCTTCACACTGTCTGCACTTAACACCTTGTCCTTTGGCTTTAGGCCAAAATATTTTTGCCAGGGCTTTAAACTGATTAGTGAGGTGCCAGAACAAAGATGCCTTTGTACTTGAGAGTATTGCTGTAGAAAACTTGTTCAGCAGTGGAAGAGAGGTTACCCAGAGTGTGCAGTTCTGCTGACATTTGGGGAGATGAGTTTATCAACCTTTCACTATTTTTTTTCCTCACAAATTCTCTAACCTTAACTGTCTATCTTAAGGTTCGTGCTAGTTCTGAATTATTAAACTATTAAGCTATTAAGAGCAGTTATAATAAAAAAAACCTTATTCTCTGATGTGTCATTTCTTAAATGTTTTGACATCTGGCTTGCAGTCTTGGGATGCTTTTATTTCAGCCATGTGTTCTGTAACTTAAAGTTACTAAAAAGAGAAGCACCTGCTCAATTTAAGATTTCTGATTGTATATTTGTCTTCTGAAAGAGACTTGTAAAGTTCCTCTCTTTTCCAAGAAACGTTTTTCTGATCTTAGTTTATGTTTAAAAACCCTTTTGAATCTGTTATTTCACATACAGACATTTCCATAGTATTCCTTTCAAAGCCAGTCCTCTTGGAGCCGATTTTCATGTTTCTCTGCTAACTGGAAAAATTGATTTGGACAGAAGTTGCCAACTGATAGTTGTGGAAGGCAGGCTGGGAGGTGATCTCTGTGAAGGAAGTTGGGAACAGTTCTAAATCTAACTTGAGTAAAGAGCACAAACTGTCTTTGATAATTTACAGGAAATGATAGATCTACTTGGATGTAATAAACGTGTTTGTATATCCAGTTCATGGCAGACGTCCTGCAGGGTGTGTGGCCTGCCATGAAGGTGAAGAAGCCTTATAGCCACTGTGGCAAGCTGGGATCGTTGAATGCTTTACATGTTTGATCTGACAGAATGGGTAAAACACCACAGAGCCTGTCTGATCCTCTGAATTTGTGCGCTTTGAATTTAGGGAGAAAACGCCACCAGTTGATTGCCTTCAAACGTTGCAGTGCATGTGGGAGAGCACTTGTGAGAAAATCAGTGCTGACAAAGCTTTGCTGTCCTGTTCTCTCGAGTCTTTTTCTAAACCAGCTGATGCACTAAAAGCAGCAGGAGCAGAGTGCCTGGCTGGCTCCAGTCTGTGGGGACCCGTGTCCTGGAGCTGTCAGCAGCAATGAGTGCAAGTGTTAGCTTGTATTTAAAGCAAGACCTGTCTAGGATCTGATTTCACATTTGTCCTTTCCAGGTTGTTTTGTAAACAATTACAGTTCTAAATAAAAAAAGAGAGGCGTTGTTGCACCTCATTGAATTGCAAAAATCCTTTCAATGAAACACCAGATGTCTAACTGGAAACTGGTTGGATGGGTTGTCAGGAGAGATAAGGGCAAAACTTCTCTCACTTTTTTCTTTGATCATAAATTTTTAGCAAACATGAAAAGAATTTCTCCATGTTGTCTGAAAAGTCAGCATATTAGTTTGTCAGCAGTGGAGTGCAGGGTTTAACCAGCTGATCTCAGACATCCCAAAGGGCCTTCTAAGAGAAAAAGGCTGAATTTGCATTTTTTAGGTGTTTCACTTCAGACACAGTTCACCTGTTAAAATACTTTGGCTGGGGAGGTTGGATTCTTTTTTAATGCACCAACTCTTCAACACAACTGACCTAACACTCAGACATATGAAGATCAGATTTTAGGCTATTTTTAAAGCCTTTGTACTTGATGTTAAGATCTAATGTTTAATTAATTAAACTTTCAATTACAACGTAATCGAGATTGCTGTAGAAGTGACTTCAGGCTGTAATAGGGCTGTGCCAATCAGGCATCTTCAGAAATAACTCCTGGTTGTGTGAATTAAACTGTTGAACAACTTTAGCTGTAAACAGCAGTGCAAAAGATGCTCTGCGTTTAGCAAACAGCTAAGCAAGAGCTTTGCCTTCCTTATGGTGTAATTCTTTTTTTTTAAACAAAGGAAATAAAGAAATGTAAATGAGGCCATCATCAGGACATATTTTTCTTAAACATGTTGATGAACTATTGTGTACACACAAACAAGGAGCTGACAATAAATCCCTTTGAGTTTTTTTTGTGGGCTAATTTAAACTTGTTCTTTATCTTTTAGAGTAGCAGGTCCAAGGCTGCCTTCCCAGAGCAGGCCAGAGGACTGTTGTTGTTTTCCCAGCCCTGAAGGCTGGGAAGGGAGGAGTTGCTGTTACATGCTGCAGTAGTGTTAGCCTGTTGCTCCAGGAATACTTTCTCTGTTCTGTTTTGCTTAAAGCATCGGAGGGGTCCAAATCTGAGGGTTCGTGTCTGTATGTCTCAGCCTCAGGAACAAGTGCACTCATTGATTTCCTCAGCAGCTGGCAGCTGTCCTGAAATGCCACCAGGGCAGCATTGCCACAGTCAGCCCAGTGCACAGATTGAAATGTATAGCCATTCTTCCACTTCCTTGGCTGTACCAATGGCCTCTGAATGGGACAATACAAAGAAATCCCAACTTCCCTGGGTCCAGGTCTGCATGATTATTGGGGGTTTTCCCCTGCAGAACAAAGATGTGTGCAATGAGTACGAGTGTAAATCTGAGGAAGATCAGATCTGAATGTATTTAGGTTCATTCTTTTTGGTGAGTTATTGCATATTAAAAAGACAACTGGAACCTTTGGTAAATAAGCATTTCAGAAATCAGTATTGCTTTCACAGAACATGTTTTCTCATCCCTTACAAGTAGTTGTAGGAGTAATATGTTTTCTTTTGGGGTTTTTTTAAGCTCTGAGCCATTTGCCTATTCCTGCAGTAAGTTGTGGCAGTTACAGCATTGCTTGCATGAACAGTTTTGCTTGGAGTATTTGTGTGCAAGGTCTCTTTGTTTCTGCTCCACAGCCATTTTACCTACATGGCATGGGGGCAGGGAAGAGTGCAGAATGGAATAAGCTTTCTGGAGTTTGAATCCAGGTCACTTGGCTGGCTCCCAGTAGCTAGGCAATAATAGGCACACTGGCTGCTTTCCCTTTTTCATTCTTTCTTTTCCAATGATCTGAAACCTGAGGAGAGAAAACTAGCAAGTGGAATTACTCTGAATAAAATTAAAATGTTTCTAGGAATGTACTCACTCTTTCCATTCTACCCTTTCTCAGGCAGCTGTAGCTCTTTGTATCTGCTGCTGCTAGCTTGCTTTAATTTCTTTTGTGCACGCTCTTCCCTTCGGTAGAAGCAAACCAAAAGTATTCCAAACTTTGAATCTTGTAACATTAAAGCTTTTGTTTCGTGAGTGGAGAGAAGGGTTTCTATGAAGGGTTTCTGTGATAGTGAGGCTAACAGCTTCTATTTGGGTGAGCTGACGTGGCAGCAGTGTGACCTGTGCCTGCTCTGATCCCCGTGTGCTCTGTCTTACAGAAGATGCAGACTACAGTGCCTTCGGGACAGACACCATGACCAGGAAGAAGAACGTCTTATCCAACGTGCTACGTCCAGATAACCACAAGAAGAAGCCCCACATTGTGATCAGCATGCCCCAGGACTTCAGGCCCGTGTCATCCATCATCGACGTGGACATTCTGCCCGAGACCCACCGCAGGGTGCGGCTCTACAAGTACGGCACTGACAAACCCCTGGGCTTCTACATCCGCGACGGCTCCAGCGTCAGGGTCACCCCGCACGGCCTGGAGAAGGTGCCAGGCATCTTCATCTCCAGGCTGGTCCCCGGGGGGCTGGCTCAGAGCACGGGCCTGCTGGCTGTCAATGACGAGGTGCTGGAGGTGAACGGGATAGAGGTGTCAGGGAAGAGCCTGGATCAAGTTACAGACATGATGATTGCAAACAGCCGCAACCTGATCATCACGGTCAGACCCGCCAACCAGAGGAACAACGTGGTGAGGAACAGTCGGACTTCGGGCAGCTCTGGCCAGTCCACTGAGTCCAGCCTTCCCAGCAGCACCCCCAACATCCTGGGCAGTGTGCTGCAGGGAGAGGAGGAGAGCGATGACGAGGACATTATTATTGAAGACAGTGGTGAGCCACAGCAGATCCCAAAAGCTGCGCCCACCAGCGAAAGCATAGAATCCTTATCACAAATTGAACTGCTCCACGAGTCCACGCAAAATGGGTTCCTTCCTTCCAGTGAGATGAACTTGAATCACTCAGCAGGCAGCATTAGCATGGAGTATGAAGTACCAGAGCAGGGGCAGAAGTCCTTAGAAGAAGATGGAACTATAATAACACTATGAAATGGCATTGGTGTACTTCGGATAAGTAAGGATGCCATACATGTTTTAATCGGGCTTAATATGTAACACATTTTATACCTCTCCATCTACCAAGCACTGCAGTTAGATTAAAAGGAGGGAAAAAAGTAAATACAAGAAATTCAAAATTACGTAAGTTGACTAACTTCATTAATTCTGCACTTCAGTGTAAATAATTCACAAAGCTGGATGATAATTGATAAATAGCTGAAATTGAATGAAGAAAATTTAAATTGAGAATGAAGGATAGCTAAGAGATGGCTGTGAGCTTTCTTTTAAAGGTACTTGATTTTTATTATTTTTTTAATGCCGTATACTACTGGTTCTATGGAAGTAAACTTCCTCACGTGTGAGGCTGACCATGTCATGGACTGTGGTTTCACCTGGTGTTCCTCTGAAGTGCTGCTCTCGTGTGATGGAGCTGCTCCAGCCCCTCACTGCTGTCCTGGCTGCTGCTCCACTGGCAGAGCTGTGCGTGGGCTCTGGGCAAGAGGAAACTGGGAGAGAGCTGGCTTGGGCTGGGAAGAGCTGGGAGTGGTGACACAGGGACAGCAGGGCTCTGTGGGCAGCACCTGCACTGGGGCTTGGGAGGGCACTGCTCCTTAGTGAGTGAATGTGCAACCACAGGCTCATTAGTCAGGCACCATTACTGTTTTTAATGGCCAGGCAAGCTTACTTTTAATGACTCTGATTTTGAAATTCAAATGTGAAAGTCTTAACACTAATGCATCAAAGACCTGTTCTCATTCTAGTTTGCCATATTTAAGAATATCATTGGATTTAGTTACTAATCCCAGTAAATTACAAACAAAGGTAAACTTAATGCTATGGAAATAGCATAACATAGTCTCTGTTACAATTGCAGTCCTAGTAGAAACTGTAAAGATTTCTACTAGCAAAGGTTTGTTGGAATGAGTCTGGATTGTATAAAAGTGACTTTCTTCAAACCTGAACAAGTTAGAACAGTCTAAGTTAAATCCCTGAATTAAAAAAACAAGTTTTAAATCAGAATGAGGCTTTACTACACCTTGTTTGAGCCATGTGATAATAACTGTGGCAGGAAAGTGAACTGGGGACTGACAGGACTGGGAGAAGGATGTCCCCAGGGATGCTGTGGCCTGTCAGGAGGAGTGGGGTGCTGCTGGTTGTGTCCTGTGCTCCCCAGAGCAGCAGTCAGATGCTTGGGAGTGTTCCACCCTCTGGGAAGGTGGGATGAGTGGGAAGGGAGACTCACCCCTTTCTTTTTTTTCCCCTCAGTCTATTTGAGGAAAATCTACCTCTACTAACAGGAGACCAACTGTAAGTTTAATGTTAGGGCATCTGTAAAAGTCTTCACAGACTGTCAAGAGGCTAAACCTGTGTTTGTTTCAGGTTTTTGTGATGATGCAAACTCTGCTGCAGAAACAAATCCCTGCTGTTTGATGTTACAAAGTGCACATTTGAGATTAGTATCTGATGAGCAGTAGTTTTCTCAAAGCTCCAATGCCACTGGAGTCCAAGATGCCAGGAGAGGCATTCATTCCCTTTGGGATTTGTGGAGTTAGGCACAGCAGGCAGTGGTACTCTGCAAATGCAGGTGAGGGGCTCTTTTGTCACTCTTATTTATGGTTTCTTTGTGTGTGTGTGTGTGTGGAGAGCCCTGGAATCTTTTACAAGGGCAAGATCTTTCAAGTGTTTCACTTGTTTTGCTAATAATTATTAAAAATGAAGTAACTACATCCAGTTAGTGTGAAATGAGCAAAAGAAATGTTCATTCTGCACCATGGAGACTTTACCTGGACATGTTTTCTCTCAACGCTGCTCTACACTTCCTTTCTTTGTGGAAGATTGTTTACTTTGAAAATATCTTTTTTATTTTCCTTTGTCAAAAGACTTCCCTTCCTGTATGAAATCACCAGTGGAGGGTGAGACTTAAAATTCTGCTAGTTTGCACTTCTGTGCCTTTGGTTTACTTGAATGTATTGTGAATAATCAAAGGAATAAAGGCACTTGGATGGGAAGAGAAGAGAGGTCCAGAGGTGCAGAGAATGAGCTGGTAGTGCACTTCAGGCAGGTGTTATGATTTCATTCCGTGCAGATCCACCTCGAGGTGTGGTCCACGAGGATTTTGCAGCTCTGACCATCTGGGAGGGCTGAGCCTGGGCAGGTTCCCCCCCGAGGCTGCTGTGCTGCCAGGCACGTGCATGGGTACTTTGAATTGTATTTATGCCAGTATTAAGGACTTGTAGAAATTGAACTGGGGTCCTACCCTAAACTGCATGAGACTTCATCTCTAGGACCTTTCCTGCAAACTGAGTAATCTAAACGTGACATAATGTTCTTTATGACATAGATCATGTTCTGTTTCACAGAAATTTGGTGGCATGTAGTAAAAACTAAGCATTTGGGACTTGATAAAAACTTTAAAAAATAAATCTAAAAAATGTATATTTACAGTTACAATGACAGACTGCACGGCATGTAATTGCTTAATGCTGCAGTTACCATAAAGTTTCTAAAGTTCTTCCATATCTTACTAATACATACACTGTTAATTACAAAAGATTTTTAAATTGCTATTTCGGGATGATCAATGGTTGATTATGAGTGGCTAAATTTAATTTTATATATAAATGATACCGGGATTCAGTATAAGGTTTTTTAAAATATGCTGATATTGTTAGCCTTTCATTCACTACCTCCTAAATTTTTAACATCTATACTGTTTTCTCCCTGGAAGACAATACTTAAAGGCTTGACTGTTTTATATAGATTTTATCTATAGCTAAAAAGAGGAGAAGAAAATCCAGAAGTGCTAGTGAGGATGCTGCGCATGATTGACAATATTCCGCTGCTATTGATGTAATCTGTGTATTAAGTATCCTGTGTGTGTAAATTGTATTTTCAATCCAGATTTTATAAATTAATTTATGAGATATTCCAAATTATTTCAGAATGGAATGAAAAACTAAAATTCCTTTGACTAGTGTTATATGTTGTGTACATGCACAGAGGGGGAAAGTGATTCCTCCGTGGTGACTGGGAGATCTAAGTGCACCTTAATAGGAAGAAGAACAAATTCTTAATAGAATTAAGATGCATTTACTTTGAAGTTCTGCAGTGGTACTGGAGAAGTCAAGCCTAACTGTGAATCATGGTTTTTTTCCACACCTGAATTAAATTTAGGACAATGTTCTCACAAGCTGTCTTTAACATGTGTATTTTTGTGAATATTATGTATTTTCTAATTAAATTTTACTTGCAATGTGATTTTTACATGAATGAACTTGTTTAAAATGTCAAATATCAGTATTTTTCTTACAACTTTAATGTATAATGTACATTGGTATCTCACCGAATGAAGATTGATTTTACAAAAATCAAGCTAGATGTAGTTGTATATTAGTCTTATATTTTTACAGACCAAAATAATAAATGGATATAGAAATGAAATGTTTTTTTCTCAATTATTTTGTCAGATAAATCAAACTGAGGAAGAATGTATTCTTTTTCTCAAGTGTGACAACAGGTAGGCTTAATTTTTCTCTCCTGGCCAGCACACCAGGCTGTTTTCCTGCAGTGTTCTCCTCGTGGCCCTGGCCCTGCCTGGAGCAGGTCTGTGCTGCACTTGCAGCTGTAGCAGGGACCCCTGCATGGCTGCATTGCTGAGCTCTGCTCCTGGGACAGGTGCAGGTCCCTCCTGCTGTCACCTGCACCAGGTGCTGCTGCTGCTGGGGACATCACTGCTGCCGTGAGTATCTCTGGAAGTGTCAGCTTGAACTCAAACCCATTTCACTTGCAAATGTTTTCTCCCACCTCTTTTGCCTTGGCAGCCCTTGTAAACATTTACCCAGGGAGGAGAGACTCGGGCTGTGCTCAGCCCCTCTGCGTGTGGCTTTTGTTCCTGCTGCTCTGGGGCTGAGCACTGAGTTCTGCTCTGCCCTTCCTCGTGTCTGTGGGACTGGTTTGTGTGTGTGCTCAGTGCTTTCCATCCCTGCACATGGAGAGTTCTGCTCTGCCCTTCCTCGTGTCTGTGGGACTGGTTTGTGTGTGTGCTCAGTGCTTTCCATCCCTGCACATGGAGAGTTCTGCTCTGCCCTCCTTTGTGTCTGCAGGACTGGTTTGTGTGTGTGCTCGTGCTTTCCATCCCTGCAGTCAGAGCCTTGGGGAGGGTTCAGCAAGGCTGGGATCAGCACTGACTCAGTGCAGCCCAAAGAATCCAGGCTGCTGCTCTGGGCACTGGAGCTTGAGTGTCTTGCAGCTGGGAGAGTTCTCCTGTCTTTGCACAGGACACTTGGAAGGAATGCTGGAATCAGAGTGGCACTCCTGGAATGGTGTGAGCTCTCTCAGTGTTCTGGAGCTCGGGCTGTGGGGTCACCCACTGAAGAACTCCTTGGGAATGTCTCTGTCTGTGAGGAGGAGTGAGGCTGACAGGGCTGGCTCTGCAGAGCAGGCACAGCACAGGAGCTGCTCTGGGACACCCAGGGAATGAGGCTCGAGTGCACTCACACAGGTCAGCAATGCTGCTTTTACAGAGCACTCATACCTACAGTAGTTTTCTTAAAACTGAGAAACTTATTTAAAGGAAGGCTCTAACTTTCCCTACTGCTGCCTCCTTGAGGAAGGAATGCAGCTGTTAATTGCATCTGTCCTTTAAACCCAGCAGCATTTAACTTTTCTCAAGGTGAGCTCTTAACAAGGCATTAGGACTTGGGTTATTTTATGAGACTGAAAATTCATATATGCTTACAGATACAGGATTTTTCATAAGTAATCAAGTGAGAATCCTTCTCTCCCTGGTATACCAAAAGGAGAAAGATTTAGACTAGTGCTAAATACCCCTTTGAAATATTTTTGTTATCTTTGGCATTCTAGTTAGAGACTTTCCAGGAGTCTTCTGAGCACGTGTTCACACAATGCAAGTGTCACACTCAGATACTGGGGATGTAGTTGTGTGTGGTAATGCTAGAGAGGAAAAATCATCTTTAAGCTTCATAATTGGCTGCCAATGCTAACACGAGGGAAGATGTGTTGGATGGTAACAATGTTCTTGGATGCTGTAGAAGTATGCAATAAATGGCACTGCTGGTCCTTGGGGAGACGAGACTGCAGCCAAGATGTAGGAATTCAGACTCCTTGTGCAGCTCTGACAGATCACTTGTGTACTTTTCCTCTCACACAGGAGATAAATTTGTCTCTGGGGACTTAATGTCGTGTGCTTGATTTAAAAGTGCTTTAGAGCCATGAAGCACAAAGCGATTAAAGAAGTGCTGTGCTATTAAACCAGCAGTTCTTATCCCAAGTTCAGAAGTGTTGCTAATAAGATATCATTTCCTGTCTTTCCAATTAACATTCCTTTCTATTGAACTACTATTTTATTACCTGATACCTTAAGGAAATACCTTGCATTTCATCAGTGAGAGCCTTGTTTCAGGCTCTGTGGTGTTATGTTTAAGAAGGTGTATGAGTGTATTTATTGTCCCCACATCAGAACGTGGTTCTCATCCTGTGTGATGCAGTGACTTCTCCAGAGTGCTCTCGTGAGCACCTGGCAATGCCTGGGTACTGATAATGGCTTTTTTGTAATCACAAATGGAATGGCAGCACTCAGAACCTGAGGAGCAGAGAACAGCAGCTGATGGGAAAGGAGCCAGAGCAGGTAAAGACACCACCCAGTGCAGGGGTCGTGCTTTTGTAAATGACATTTGCTCGGTGTGTATCACAGTCTGTCCTGTCTGAATCAGTGCTGAAAGTGGCCTCACTACCCACAGCTGCAAGAGAAAATGGAGATAAAAGTAAAGAGTGGGAAGCAAATGGGAGATTGGCTAATGAAGGAGGTGAGTCCCAGCACATTGCAGAAAGGAAAATGTAATTCTGCAATGGCCACAAGTTTGTCTATTCCATGAAGCTGTATAAGAAAAGGTCAAAGAAAAGATCCTAACTCTGCCAGCCTGATCCCTTTAGACCTCACAGCTGTAGCAGTAAATTCTAGGCATGAGAAGAGTGTTCTTCTTGTGAGACACTAGAATTTCTCAAGACTTCTTGCCTTTTTTTCTTTTGCTTCACTTCTTTGCTATTGTTCTGGATATTGTGTACCCAATTTAAAAAAAAAAAAAAAAAGTGGGATTCTCTGTTGGAAGGCACAAATGATTTGAAATTCAAATGACTTGAATACAGAAACATGGATTTCTGTGACTTTCTGAATGCTGCACGAGGTTACATAAAATGCTTGGTCTTGTAATTCTGAAATTTAAAATCCTAATAGCTTAAATCTTATAAAAACCTTGTTACTAAGTCTGCCATTCATATTCTTTCTTTCCTGCACAGCAAGGTGAGAAAAGTAGATATATTTTTGCAAACTCAGGAGTTTTTAAATGAGCTCAAACTTAAAGCAAAAACTACTTGCAAAAGACCATTTGGGTTTTATTAAACATCAGAATGTATTTACTGTCTTTCAAATATGCTTCAGGTGGTTCATAACTGGATCTCTACAGTGTAGAAAGGAATGCAGAAAGGAAAGGGGATAAGGACAAGACCTGGTTGTGAGCCAGGCACATCTCTAACCTCAAATCCTTTCAATACCCACAAACGAGGACAGAGTTATTCCGAGCTGCATTTTCCTCTGCAGCCCTTTAATTTCCCGGTCCCTAAAACCGGCACCGAGCCCGCCCCGCTCCCGCCCGCACCGCCGGGGGCTGCGCTCAGCGCGCTGAGCTCAGCCGGGCACGGAGAGCGCCGGGAGCGCTCCGAGGATGCGCCGGACAACGCTCGGGAATGCTCACCGGGAGCGCTCCGAGGATGCGCCGGACAACGCTCGGGATGCGCGCCGGGAGCGCTCCGGGGATGCGCTCCGGGAACGCGCGCCGGGGAGCGCTCGGGATGCGCTCCGAGATTGATCGGTCGGGGATGCCCGCCGGGGAGCGCTCGGGATTGATCGCTCGGGATACCGCGGCCGGAGCTGTCCTCTCCCGGAGCGCACCGGGAACGCTCCAGGAGCTCTCGGGATGCCGTGGCTGGAGCAGTCCCCGCCCGGAGCGCACCGGGAACGCTCGGGATGCCGCGGCCGGAGGAGGTGGGTGCGGAGCGGGGGCTGCCTCCCGAGCCGCTCCTTCCGCGGGCACCGGCAGCACCGCCAGGGAGGCTGCAGGACCGGCAGGACGGCACCGGGGGGGCTGCAGCCCCTGCAGCCGCGGAGCTCCCGTGCCCGGACCGAGCCCTCGGCGGGACCGTGCCACGAGCGGCCCCGGCCCGGCCGATGCTCCGTGAATTGCCGCTGTGCCCTCGGCATGAGCACAGTCGGGTCTGCGGAACTGCCGTGGCTGGGATGCAGCACTGGGTAAAGCTGAGCTGCTGCTGAATAACTATTTGCATGCTTTTGTTTGTTTGGAATATTTTTCCTTGTCAATCACTGCTCCTGGTACTGGTTATTTGGTTGGTAGGAATGAAGCGTGCTGGTGTGTGAGGCTGGGCTCCAGTGCCGATGGGATTCGGTGGGACCATGTGCAGGTTGAGAGTCCGAGGTGCAGCCAGCTCCCCTCCAGCTCTGAGCTCCACTGGTAAGGAACGGACCACACCTGGGATCCCTCAAGGCGAAGACAGAGGTTTTGAAGTTGCCCTTTTGTAGGCTGAGACACTTCCCTTCCACCACCAAAAAAGAGAGGAAGGCTCCAAGCCCCAAAGTGGGCTTGGAACACTTGGGAGTGTTCCCTTTGTGACCTGCAGGAAGCCGATATCCCACCTGAGCCTGGTGGTGATGTAAAGTTGGTAATATTCTCTTGGGGCAGTTTATTTAAAATTTTCTCTTGTCATGACAAAAGATGCTCCTAAACCAACCTTTTAAATAGCTTCCCCTTCACCCCTTTCCTTCATTTTGACAGTAAAATGTTGATGTGATTTATTTCTGTCTCCAAGGAAAAAAAATGCTCTGTTTCATTATTCAGAGAATTTTTTTCCCATGCTTCTTCCTTGACATCATCTTTTCATATGTGGCTGACAATGATTTGCAGTAAGTCAGACCACTTACACATACCCACATCTTGGGATCTTTGGTTTGGTTTTGTGTTCAGCATTTTCAAGGTGATGACACAATGCTTGGTGCAGGATACCCACATCATTTTCATGTGGTTAAACCACTGACAGTGTTTGTCTTACTTCTGTCATCTGCAGTTGGGAAGACACAAATCTCGTTATTGCTTTTTACATTTACAAAAAATGGATTTTCAAGCTTGATTAAGATGATGCTGCAAAGTGAACTACTTGTTAGGGAGCAAGTTTCATTCATGTATTAGTTCATGTCAGCTGGAATCTATTGGTTTAGTCAAGTGCCACTTGTACTGGCATTAAATAAGAAATAAAGAAGTCACAAACGACTTTCTGGTACAGTGCTGTACAGCAAGTGAGTGCCTGTTAGTTCTGATGAGAAATACAGAAATAATTCGTGTTCTTTGCTCCTT